ATAGATTTTTCTCACTCTACGTTGACGGGAGGGTTAAGCAACTTGCCCTTTTTATTCCAGTGCTTCTTAGCTCTGCTGTACTCTGCAGTTCCCGTCTACGTGGGGGCGCCTCAAAGAAAGCGCCGGCGAGGCCTCTACCCGCTCGCTTGAAAATCATGCCAAAAGATTCCGGCAAGAACCTGTTTCGCTCAGAATAAATTCGTAAGAAACCATGTGGGCGCAGCCATCGCCTGCTGCTGTCACTGGCGCGGGGGAAAACGGCGATAAACTCGCCTCAGCAAATCAATATGGGATGCTGTCTTTGGAAGCAGCCCAGGACGCCCTCAGTACGGATGTATCGGGTTCGCTATCTACTCTTCCTCGAGTGGGAGCACTTCACGTGCGCCGGTCTCCTCCCGTCGGTCGGACCTACGCTGTGCTAGCAGCGATCTTCTCTATAGTGGCTGTGGCGTTCCTCATTTCCGGCTGTGCCTGGCACTTAAAACTGCATCGGGTCCTATCTCGAACGGATCAATCTAGACGACTCGCAGCTGGAGGGATTGGCCCTTGCGATCCGCTGGGAGACGACGAGAGTGGCTCCGAAGCACCGGAGCAGCCACGCCCACGTGCACCACAGTTCGGCGCATATGAGAAGCAAGTCAAATATTTATCACTCACAGTACAAGATGAAGCGTGCCTTACAGCGGAAGAGGTCAGGCTGATTGAGTTAGCCAAGCAGATGTTGACTGAGTTGGGCGACTCGGTTTCACGCCTTCTGAGCGAAAAACGGGAAGCGAAACAAACGATCCGGACGTTAACTGCCGAACTGAATGCCACGCCACAACCCAAGACTTTGGAACTACAACACGAAGTTGGACGCACGGAAGATTATATCGAACATTTGAAAGAAAGCCTACGACGGCTGGAAGCGGAACTTGACGAAAAATACCCGAGACTCACCGCTTCTGTTTGGAGCCAGAAGCAAGAAGCAGCTGCTCTGCTGCTGAGAGCAACTCATGCTAGTAGAAAGGCATTAACGGTAGGTGCATCACGTGCGCTGGCTGCACAGAGGGTTGTCCTGGCGGCAGGCATGCCACATCATGAAGATTGTCCGCCTGAGCATATCCCGCCGGTGAAACGAAAGATTGAGGAGGCACTCGCTGCATCAATGCTTGCCTCTGTCGCTATCGAAACACGGGGAATCCCATCAAGGGAATCTATAGAGAGAGCGAAAGTATCTCTCGACGAGATACTCAATGTGGAGACTGCGGCGCCGTACCTCGGGTTGCAAAGTTATCTCCCACGCGTACAACAGGAACGGAAGAGGCTGGAAGATGCTCTGGATAAAGCATTAAGTGTAACATCATCGGAATCCACGGGGAGACAAACTCCTACATATCCGGGAAGAAGCCGTTCATCTTCGCTGCGGCGTCCATCGACACCCCTATCTTCCCATATCCCTTGGCCTCATCATGAGCCTGGTCACTTTGGCCATGAACGTAGACCTAGCCGTGCCAGCTTCGGACCTTCTGAGGATGGCAGGGGCACCCTCCCTCTTCCTGGCGTTCCCCGTTCCCCAGCTACTCGCTTGCCTCAGCGGTCGGCAACTTTGCCTCGTGCACCTCCAGGCTGGCAGCCGCATCCAAGCATGATGCAACAACTGCGTGGGAGCTCCCGTCCACCTTCAAGAGGGGCGACTTTGCCTCGCCAACTT